TGCAAAATCTCCGGTGAAAAAATAGAAGACTCAAAATACAAGGTACGGAAACTTTCTTGTATAAAAGCAAATAAAAGCCTTGCTTTAATGATTGATGGCTATGTACATGCATACACTTTAACTGACCCGAAATGCCCAAGTCTTTTCTCAGCTCCTCCTTTTCTTCAGCATTCAATCTTGCATCACTGTCAATAATTTGTTTCACGTTCTCCTTAGAAGGCTCTGGATCATCGTCCCATGCATTTTCTCCTACATAAGAACTGTCGTGAATAAGCATTCCATTTGGTCCTTCGATAAATTTCTTCAATTTCAGGCCTTTGGGTGTTGTCTTCCACCATAATCCCTTCTTAAACCTGTAATTACATGAAAGCTAGAGAATATAAGAATTAAAGTTTGAAAGGCCCCTATGATGCCAAATCTGTGCGTTGGTTTACCATTTTCAATGTATGTATCACACGAAAGAACTCAAGTTAAAAAAGCTTGGTGGACAATAGAAACAGGAAATAAACATAGATTATAGGCACATGTGAGTATATAGGCCAAACAAATAATTGATAATAAACCAGCAGTAAACTAACCAAGAGATTCAGGGGCCAGGGCTACTTGTTACTCAAAAACATTAGCTATAAACAAAATAGTTGTGAATCATCTTATGAGCAGAATATATCACTTGCAAAACCTTCAAGAATTTAGAAGTTAAAGAACAACGCATTCCTTTTAACACAACGAATCACATTATTCCACAATTTCATACTGTGTATATAGACCTTTACTGAGAATGATACTGCGTTGTCTGAAATTCAATACATAGACAGACACTGAACAACATTTGTATAACACGAAGATTGATATTTATGAAAAGCCCGGCAAACACATGAAAGTAACCAACTTGCTCCAAAAACAAGAAAATAAATAAGCAATAAGCAGCAAAATCTAAATGGCCTACTATTATGAAAATTAAATAGGAGGCAATCAAATCTTCCATTAAAACATGAACTTAGAAGTTGGTTGATAAATCATGCAGCCAACCACAACTAGATAGTCATGCCTGGTATATCATTAGAATGAAGAAATTAATAAACTGCATTTGCAAGTAATAAAAGAAATGCATTTACTTTCTTATATTACTTGGAGAGGGCTCAGGAATCAATGCTTCCATATAAGCCTCTGTTAATTGTTTTCTTTCTCGATCTTGAAGAGGAGCTCGCACGACAGCATACAATTTTTGACAAGAAATTATTGCAACAAAAATATAGAGGAACAAGGCAGTAATCCGCTTGAGATCCCAATTTTTAAAATCCTGCAAAACAATTAACCAACTATCAGCTTTAAAACAATGAAATGGTTGATACAAAAATAGAAAAGCAGAAAGCTACAATGAACTGGTGCACGATGAGCTATATCCTGAAACTAAATTTCCATGAGCAGACAATAGGGTAGCAATTAAGCAGAAAGGCATTCTGGTGCAAATCCCAACCTCTATTAAAGATTCTTACACTATTTTTAATTTAATTCGTTATACATACATGCACACATTTAGAAAAATGCAATAGTCAAACGGTAAAAAGAAACAAAATAGTTAACCTTCCAACGCTCCCACTGATTCCAGCTAACAAACTCGGGAAGCAACTCGGTCCTGAACCGACTGAATTCACCCTCGCCCTTCCTGAAACCTTGGTTAACTCGTCCCACCAAACTCACCAATCCTCACATACGCCTCATCCAAATCGAACCCAGTTTCCTTCTTAACCGACTCCCCAAATTTGGACCAAAACTTCTCAGAGTCGAAGCGGAGCCAGGAGAAGCCATTGGAGCCAGGCCCACCAGGATTGACAGACGAAGAAGAAGCTCTGATTATGAGCCTGCGCCTTGTGGAGAGCTGAGAGAAAGTGAGGGCTTGAGGGGTTTTAGTGATTGATATGGGAGAAAAGAGAGGAGGGGTTTGGGCGCAGGGGATCGGAACCTCCATTTTTGTTGGTAGCATGACACGAGTGAGGAACTTAAAAATGAGGTTTATCGGATGGGATGGGGCTTTGAGGGGTTTATCTATACGTGAGAGAGAAAATGCCACTCTATGCCCATTTTGGATGGACCGTTGTCCGTTCCGATGACACGTGACTCGCAGGCCAGCATGTTAAATTTAGTTTCTCAAACAAAACATCAAAAATCTTTTAAAAACTCGAAAAACTATTTAGCTTTTTTTTCCTGAACTAAAATTACTTTTGTTTTGGGGGAGGATAGGTCTGTAAACAAACCGAACGCACACGAACAGAGGTATGTTCATGTTCGTTCATTTAATAAATAAACGAACACGAGCATAAACGAACAAATATTTTTTTGTTCATGTTCGTTTATTAAGGAATATAATTTGTTCATGTTCGTTCATTTAATAAATAAACGAACATAAACGAACACGAACATAAACGAACACGAACATAAATGAACACGAACATAAACGTTGGAGACCCTACCCTACCTTCCATTGTTCTTTCATGAAAAATAGTCGACAATGCAAATCAACCAAATCTACAGTGATAAATAACGTAAGAGCTGATTAGCAGTGATGAAATGTTTGAAGATATCAAATATTTCGATCGATCTTTTAAAGATATTAAATAATTCACACGACTTTAATTTAACGATATAACATTTATCTTAGTGGTCCATAATTACATATGAACAATCATTTTTCACTACGTTATTCTAACAAATTCGCCGGCTAAAAGTTTTGTGACATCAATGTCAGACTTTAGTGAGGTTTGTTAATAATGGTCATTTCTGTTGGCAGAGTAGAAAATTTAACAGCATGAAGATTTCGAACGGTACAAATTGGACTACAAGGCAATAACATAGATCTGAAATCTCTTCGATGCTACATATCGTAACTGATATTATTGCTAAACCCACCATTCAAAATTTTAACGTACCTAAAGTCTACTCCACAACTAAAGATCACACAAGAACTATGAAAATAAAAGTTCATTGTCAAAGTGTATTTTCTACTTATTAATGAGTTCTTCCTGGAAAACTCTTTACTTCCGCTATTACACTCTTTTGCAGAAATTGCATAGAAACTTTTGACTTATTTTTTGGCAAATTCTATATATTTTTTTCTTTACTGATGCTCATATACTTCCGATTGTTACATTTATCTTCTCATCTATTTCTAGAAAGAAATATGATGTTTTCTTGAGTTTTAGATGTGAAGATACCTGCAATAACTTTACATATCAACTATTAAGCCAAATAAAACAGAGAAAGAAATGAAAGCATACCTGTAAAACTTCAGATTGCACTATAATATAACTTGTTTTGAAGCTTTCAACGATCGTCTTCACTCTCTAGTGAACACTAGGGTTTGGGAAAAAAGGGAGAAAATGAATATAGGTGTGAGGTGCCTCACGGGTTAACATATTAGATTTAATCTCCAAATAAAATTGGGTTAATTATGGAATTGGTCATCAGAATATCAGATTAATTAATATTTTTAAGATACTTACAAATTGGTCACCAAAATTGATTTAAGAAGATTGAGTTAAACATAAATGAATGAACATAAACGAACATAACCGAACGAACATAAACGAACATAACCGAACGAACATAACCGAACGTAAATGAACGAACGAAACCTATGTTCATGTTCGTTCATTTAATTAAACGAGCACAAAATCTTGTTCATGTTCGTTCATTTAATAAATAAACGCACATAAGCGAACTTCCCGCCGTACTGTTCATGTACGGTTCGCTGAACGTTCAGTTCATTTACAGGCCTAGGGAGGGATATATATAAAGACCAAATTTGACATTTATGGTTAATTTTTTAAAATAAATATTTTAATTTATCAATTCGATTTGATTTAATTTTAAATATAATTAAAATTTATATAAATATTATACATTAAAAATTATAAATATTATCAATACTTAGTTGATTTAGTGAATGATGCATTAGATCTTTTATGCATCTAAACCATGACATATGTGAATAGAACAAACTGAATTAGAAGAATCTGACATAATAATAAATCTTTCAAAATTCAATTTAAAATAGTTAATTAATAAATCGAATACATACTACTAAAAAAATAGAATATATCTTATTATAATTTAAGATGCTTAAATTTAGTGTGTATATTAGTATATCATATTATAATTTATGATGCTTAAATTTAGTGTGTATATTAGTTTCATCTGAGAGAAAATGATTAAAAGAAATGCGGAAGTTTCAATTATATTGCGCTTTGTATTTCATTCGGTGTTTCCATTCTCCACTGGTCTATCACTCTCTTCCTATTGGCATCGCCTAACGGTCTGGTTTCTTTCTCAGATATATATATTCGCTTTACCGATCTTTTTGCCTTGTCTTTTTTCTTCTAAGTTGTTCCTCTGTTTCTTATTGGATGCCGTTTGCCTTATCTCTGTTTTTTTTTAATTGCCGTAGACACCAGATCATCGAGTAAGTTTTCGTCAAACCTACGTTCATGTTTCTATCAAAAACGGTCGGCGCTTATGGATGAATCCAGGTTTCCTCAATCCTTGTGATCTTTGTTTATTGTTATGACTTCTGCTAGATAGTTTAACTTTGCGGGAATTGTATGTAGATTTCATCTTTGCATTTATTCAGTCAAACTCCTGTAGGTTCTTTGGGGAAAAAGAAAAAGAATTCCAGGTAAACTAAACGAGAATAATCTGGAAGCGTACTTGTATTTTATTTTGAGAAAAATAATCATCAGCTTTTTCTCCCATCTCGTGTTCAAACTCAAAGAAAATTTTGGTTTTGTTACTGCGTATGTTTCGGCTTAAACGATTAAAGAATATACTATTCTTTTTCCTTTTGTTACTTTAGAAAAAGAATTATATATAATAGCAAAAATAATAATAGTAAATTATTTATCAAAATCTTGATTGGTCAGATGTGGTTGATTCATTGCATTAAATAACAAATTTTGTTTAATCGATAAGATTGGCGCGCGATTGTGAACAAGCCACGCCCGGCTTTAATCTGAAAGCGTCGGGTGATCGCGCGATTTCCTCCGCGGCTACGGAAGCCAATTTTGCCGCCTTAGTCCCCAAACAAATTGTTTCTATAAATAGGTAAGCTGGAGCATACATTATACCCTTGGCAGTCCTTTGCAAAGCTAGTACAAGATGCGCCCTTTCCTGTTGTCCCGTTTCCGGTATTCAAAGCAGCCGTCAAAACGACATTTAATTTTGCGTAAGAAGTCGGTACGTTGCTAAAACCATCCATTTCATATATTTCCTACATGCGAGTGTTTCCTTGTTGTAAGTATTTTACTAACGTGGGTATGTTTAATTACGAGGGAAACAGGGAGAGAGAAATTCAGCAAAATACATGAGGAGGAGGCTTGGAAGGTTGAAGGTGGAGATGGAAGACATCAGCAAAGAGCAGCAAAGCATCAAGGACGAGCAGAGTCAAGTTCGAGCAAAATTCAATGCGGTCGAAGAAGAATACGAACAGCTTCGTAGCGAAACTAATCAAATTATTCAACAAACGGCCAACACTCAAATCCGACTCGGTCTGATGTTTGGTATCCTCGAGGCAAGAGATCAAGGCGATCTTGGCAAGGCTGCTCAATTAACTGGACTACTCCGGTAATCCATCCTGTTTCCTTTCTCTTCCCAACTGATGACTTTTAATTACAATTTTGCTTATATTATTTTCATTTTTTTTTCAGTGAAATTGTTGGCTGAGATAATCACTGCAAAGGTGGAGCACCACTGCGGCAGTACTTCAAAACTTAAACATCAAATTCCAGGCTCTCTTTCAAGGCAGAGTGAATCCAGTGGTGGATCCATGTGACTCCCTAGAGGAACACTTGCACACCTATTATTTTGAGGAAAAAATTAAATTTAGTTTAATTTGTTAGTAGAAATAGAAAAAGGTTAAGGAAATTTACATACCCAATTTTTTTTAAAAATAGAATATTATAATTTTAGACCTCCTGGGTGAATCCATTTCATCCAAAAGGCAATTCAGTCCGTACTGATCTGAAGGGCAAACATGTCGTCTACAGCAATGTTTGTTATTTTGATCAGATCTTAAATCTATTCATTCATGTACTAAACGTGTGGCGGTGTTAATCGTATTTAAATGTTATGAGTTGTGATTGTAACTTTTGAAATTTCTTATATTCAAGGGTTGTTCCAGTGTATTCATATTGTGACACTGTATGATATATTAATAATCAAAATCACAAAATTTTATTGGTAATCTATCCGTATTCACCAATTATACAATATAATATATAAGATATGTGGTGCAAAAAGGGATGCTTAGTGTACAAACTTATAAAAGATTGGTGACGATGACTTCGAATAAAATTTGATTAGATATTATAATTTTGTCTTATGTTCTTGTGTTTTTGTCATCTGTGTAAGGATGAAGAGTATTTTCTAGAAAGGTAAATAAAACATGTTTATATGTTTAATTTAAATATCTTAGCTAAATTTAGTAGAATAAATTGTTATAACAACATACCTGTAGATTATTTTTAAATGAAAAATACAAGTCTATTGAGCGATCACAGTGGTAAAAAGAAGTGTTGCTCTTCCTAAAGATTGCGAACTCAAACAGTTGTGTCTGTAGAGCATGTGTATCAACTGTCAACGACTAAGAAAATTCAATAGAGAAAATATTACATGAAAATTAAATGATTAACACTCATGATACATTCTTTCGGTGCATTCATTGTCTTGTAAGGAGATATTGATTCCCTTCAATTGTGTTTTCACTACAGCAAAACATGTTTTTAGTGGCGTTATTTTTAGTCCTTACGGCGTTTTTAAGCACCGCTAAAAAGACTATCGGTACTAGGAAGAGTGCCGCTAAAACGAACGCTGGCGTTTGTGAACCTAAAACGTCGCAAAAGGTTGAGTTGTATAGCGTCATTTGTTCTTTCAAACGCCGCTATATGTTGTGATTTATAGTGACATTTTTGTTCACAAACGCTGCTAATTTTTCTGTCTTTAGTGTCTTTTTTGCCACAAACGCCACTAATTTTCTTATCTTTAGTGGCATTTTTTGCCACAAACACCGCTAATTCTCTTGTCTTTAGTGGTATTTTTTCCAAATATGACGTTACTTCTCTCGTCTTTAGTAGCCTTTTTTTGCCACAAACGACACTAATTATATTGTTTTTAGTGGTGTTTTTAATACAAAACGGCGCTATATATTATGATTTGTAGTGACATTTTTACCACAAACGTAACTATTTGCAAAAGGTTGGCATAGGCAGGTTTGATTGGATTGCTCTTCATAAGCCTTAAACTTCCATTAATGCTAATATAATATTATTTTACTGATGAGTTTAAACCTTGGGTCTGATGGCATTTAAAGAGCTGGTAATGACAACTGTTATTTTGCAATAACCAAAAGCAATGGTCTAGACAGTATGAACAAATGAGTAACTATTATAAATAATGAGTCTTCTCAGAAGAGAGTAGCTTTCCCCTTTTCCAAGCAATGTTTCAACTTTTTTTCATCAAATAGTAAACTTATAGAAGAATCAACTCAGTTCATTTCATTAAAAACAATAACAAGTGTCGGTGAAAATGGAAAATAAAGAAAAAAAGTTTTTAACTTGAACCTAGAACGAAACAAATTAACAAAACCTTGCTGTATAATATAAAACAAAAGAAGTTTGTAACTTGAACCTAGAAACATAAACAAACTATGAAGGGCACTTAAATTATTCATTTCCATTAAAAATTTCAAAACCTGGAATCATAAACAAACCAATCATGACAAGCATTAAAAATTTCAAAATTGAGAAAGATACTACCCTACCAGCTAAAGATATATGTGAACTGTTAAATAGTAAAAGGATTTAGCATCCAAGTTCTCAGTCAACAACGCGGTTCATAGAGGTTTACCATTACTGTAGAAGACATAGACAAGAATGCACCAACAAAACCCCTTTTGAAGGTTTACCTCCAAATAACTGCAAAAAGCATGTAGCTGCATCCATAAAAAAAACTCATAGCTAATAATCTGAGTAAAGGGGAAGAAAAACACTGTAATACTAGTGAAAAAAATGAAAAAGAATGTAAAATTGCATATATTCTCCAATAAAAAACACCACTTATGTCCACATGCCTAATTGAACAAACTAATGAACTAGTCATGTCACAACCGCAGGAAAATAAATGAATCTATGGGTGCCATTAAATTATACAGAAAAACATATGAAATATTAACAACACACAATAATATTCTTAAAAAGATCACTGAATCAAAGCCAGTAATAATAAATGTGTATGTGTTAAAGGAAAGAAAAGACAAGAAAAAAAGAAACAAAAAACATTTAACATCTAAGTTTACTAGCTTGTAGAGTCTACAGGTAGATATAATAGCACACAAACCTGAATGAATCCACGCGCGCCTTCAAGAAAGAGGAGGTTATACCACTCAAATATGGCAAAATGAGGGAGTACAAGCATGGAATTCAAGGATATGAATTTTGGCTCCTAATGACCTGCAAGAAGAAATAACTCAGCAAGAAAAAGAAATCAGAAATAACTTCTCCAGGGAATGAATAAACTCATCAAGACAACTATCGAGAAGAGATGCTGGTATACTTGTATTTATATAAATGATAGAGAAACAAGCATGCTTGAGATTATTAAAAGGAATTCATGGATGAAAATAAATGTTAAGTGTTGCGGAATACGACTATCGGATAAAGCAAAATCACAACTGATAATTTGAGAAAATAAAAATGAAGATAAAGAAGACATAAATTTTACGTGTAAAACCCCTAAATAATATAGGGTAAAAACCATAGGCAACGGTAGAAGAATTTCACTATGAGAAAATAGGAATTACAACTTCTCTCGATCTACCAAGGAGAAAACAATGATAATTCTCTCTTGATAAAAAAAGGAGAAAACAACTCTCAAGAAACTCTCTAAATTCTCTAGTATTGGGAGAAAGCTAGAATGATTTGGGATGATTTTAAAGCTAAATGGGTTAGGGTATTTATAGTTGAAGCTTAAGGACTAATCTTGTAAATATCCTAAAGTCCAATGACTAAAAACAATTTTCCCATGCAAAATATTCAACACCTAATTCGGTGCCTACAATTCCTTTTTTTCAAAGTTTTAGGTGGAATTGATTTTTTCAATTCCAACTTTCGGTGGAATGCATCAATTTTCAACAATCTCCCACTTGAAGATTTGATTGAAACAATCATATCTTCACACCATTCTTTCTACCTTGTACCTTCATGTTGCTTACATTTCTAACAGGCCACAAGAGGATCGACACCGAGTAAATTTATCAACATTGATCGCCTTCGCCATGAAATCTGCTATGTTGTCTTTGGTATAGATATTCTGCATATCTACCGTCCATTCTTCCACCTTTTCACGAATGAAATGGTACTGAACTCATATATGCTTTTTCCTTGAATGAAATGTTGGATTCCTTGCTAGATGCAAGGCACTTTGGCTGTCACAAAACAAAGAGACATACTCTTGATTGTGCCCAAGCTCCTCCAATAGCATCTTCAACCAAATTGCTTCTTTACTGGCTTGTGTAGCTGCTACATATTCTGCCTCTGTTGTGGATATAGCCATAACTGACTGCAATTTTAAAACCCAGCTTTAAACACATATCCTATCGTAGATTTGCTTTTATCCAAACCCCCTGCATAGTCAGAATCTACATACCCATTGATTAGTAAGTTTGATCCTCCGTAACATAATGCAACATTTGAGGTCCCTTTGATGTATCTCAGGATCCTCTTTACTGTATTTCAATGATCTTTGCCTGGATTCACCATGTACCGACTAACAACTCCCACAGCTTGTACAATGTCTGGTCTTGTGTATATTATATCGAACATTAAACTTCCCACTGCCGATGCATACGGCACTCGAGACATCTCCATCATCTCTTCTTCACTGCTAGGACTCATACTGGAGGATAATTTGAAGTTAATAGGAAGAGGGGTAGAAATTGGCTTACAATCTTGCATGTTGAATCATGACAAGATCTTCTTCAAGTAATTCTTTTGTGAAAGCCAAATCTTCATATTACTTTCGTCTCGGTGAATTTGCATCTCTAAAATCTTGTTTGCTGATCTCAAGTCCTTTATTTCAAATTTCCTAGCCATATGTGCCTTTAATTCTTCAATATGATCTTTGTTGGGTCATGCAACCAACATGTCATCCACATACAACAACAATATAACAAAATCGTTATCACCAAACCTCTTGAAACAAACACAAGGGTCTGCGTTAAGTCTGTTGTATCCAAGGCATATAATGAAGGAATCAAATCTCTTATACCAACACATTGGCACATGCTTTAGACCGTACAGAGATTTGTTCAACCTGCAAACCAAGTTCTTCTTTTCTTTTTCTTCAAAACCTTCAGGCTGGAGCATATAAATCTCTTCTTTAAGATTTCCATGAAGAAAAGCTGTTTTAACATCTAGTTGCTCTAGATGTAAATTCAATGTAGCACACATTGCCAAAACTACTCGAATTGTTGTTAGTTGAACCATAGGAGAAAAGATTTCATTGAAATCAATACCTTCTTTTTGAGCATATCCTTTGACCACCAGTCTTGCACGATACCTCTCAACTTGATCGTCACAATTTCGCTTGATTTTGAAGACCCATTTGTTACCAATTAGCTTCCTTCCATGTGGTAGTGGCACAAGGTCTCATGTATTATTTTTATGAAGGGCTTCGATTTCTTCTTGCATCGCCATCATCCATAGTGAAGCATCTGAGTTGTTTATTACCTCCTGGTATGTTGATGGCTCATCGTCCTTTGTTAAAAGACAGTATGGAATTTTTCCTTCTATAACATAATCTGAGTACCAATTGGGACGTCTTCTCAGACGATCTGATTGACGAGTTGTTGGAGCTTCAGAACTCTCTGGTTCTTGTTCATCATGTGCTGGTTCTGCTTCAGAAAAATCTCCTTGTTCAAACTCCTTTTCCACATGCATCTGTGTAGTCTCTGAATTTTCAGTGCTACCATCTTCTTCTTCTCTTTGTAGCTTATCTTCTACAAAGATAACATCTCTGCTAATGATCACTTTGCGGGCAGTGGGATCCCACAAACAATACCCCTTTACACCATCAGCATACCCCAAGAATTTGCATTTTCTGGATTTTGGATCCAACTTTGAAATTTCTTGGGAGTTGTACATCATGTACATAATACTTCCAAATACATGGAGGTTTGAATAATCAGCTGGTTTACCAGTCCATATCTTCATTGGTGTCTTCAGATCTATTCAATTGATGTAGCTCGATTCACCAAATAACAGGCGGAATTGACTGCTTCTGCCCATAATGATTTTTCTAGGCCTGCATCCCTCAACATTGCTCTTGTTCTTTCTAACAAGGTTCTGTTCATATGCTCTGCCACTCCATTTTTTTGAGGAATGTTCGCCACTGCGAACTGTCTTTTGATGCCTTTTTTCCTGTAAAGGTCATCAAATTCTTCACTTGTGTATTCTCCTTCATTATCTGTTCTGAAACACTTGATCTTATTTCTAGAATCAAGTTCCACCAGCACTTTGAAGTTTTTGAAAGTTGAAAAACGTCTGACTTCTTCTTAATAGGATACACCCAACATCTCTTGGAGTAGTCATCAATAAATGAGACAAAGTATTTTGCTCCGCCTAAGGATGTAACTGGTGTTTGTCATACGTCAGAGTGAACATATTCTAGAACACTTTTTCCTCTAGAATTTGATGTGTTGAATTTCAACCGGTGCTGCTTACTTGTTATGCAGTGCTCACACAAAGTAAGTGATACATTTGTTAAGCTTAGAAGTAGCTTTTGCTCCACAAGGACTTTCATTCCTTGTTCTGACATGTGTCAAAGTTTCTGATGCCATAACATTGCAGAATCTGAACTACATGAGGAAACAAAGGCTTCTGCTTCTAGCAAAGTCTCTCCGTTTAGCATGTACAAGTTTGTTGTTATCTTTTCACCTTTCATCACCACAAGCGCTCTACGAAACACCTTTATGATTCTTTTCTGTGTTTCAATTGTGCTTACATTATTATCCAACAATATTAATTTTTTATATTTAAGAATATAATAAAATATATAATTATTTAGAAATAACAAAAATGGCTAACATCGATTAACTATATATAATTATGAACGGACTTGCATAATTTAAGGTACTATTGAAAAAGTCTAACCATATCAAGATAAGAACACCGATAAATATAATTAACGTTAATATCAATTCTAAAAATAAATCCCTAAAAGCTCGCTTAATATATTATGATCCTTTATCCTCAGATCCGACTGGCCTCTTTATATAACGATGCTGGTTCCTTGTTTTCCCAATATCAGTCACAGGGCTAAAATTAAATATTGAGGGAACTCCAGAAGGCTTAGGGACCAAAGAAGCGTATTTTCCATTTGGACTCGGTCCCTTTGCATTTTGTTTTTCGCTCCTCCAAATTCCATAAACAATTTTGCTTACAAATCTCAGTCTATTTTAGTTTTTTTTAATCCAAGTCGTTAACTATGGTGGCACACGACACTATCAAGGAGAAGAAGAATGGTTTGAAACCAAGAGTGAAGAGTTTCAAAGTGAGAGTCACACGAGTAAAAACAGATTTGAAAAAGATGATAATGGAGTACCAAAGATGCGTAAAAGAGAAGCAAAGAATTATCAGAGATATTGTTAAATGTCAATGCTATGGCAAATTTATTCTAATCTAGGATAATAAATTTTTCTTCAGGCCTTTTACGTGCCGCACATCTCGAACAACTTTAATTGTTCCATCATACATCTTCAATTTGATGGTTCACACGCCAACGATCTCTAAGGCATGATCATTGTAATTATACACATATCCTCCTGAAACAGGTTCATAATGATGAAACCATTCTCTTCTTGAGATCATATGATATGTTGCTCCCGAATCAATGAGCCATATATTTACAAATCTTTTTCTGCCTTCCACGGTGGTTGACGCTTCACAGCATAGAGTATCTCCATCATTTGAAGTGTTTGCGGTATTGCCTTGTGGATTGAAGTTTTTATTTAGACTCCAACAATCCTTCTTCAAGTGACCCTTCTTTCCACAATTGTAGCACTTTAAATTCTTTTTACTTCTCGACTTCGATCTACCATGTTTGTGACTGCTGTTTTGGCCACGTTCTGTTAATCTCCCTCTCATCGTTGTCAACACTTCTGCTTGTTGCAGATTTACTTGTCTGTCTTCCTTGTTCTTGCACCGATTTTCTTCTTATAGAACAGCAGATGCAACGTCATCGAAGACTAGACTGGTGACATTACTGTTTGTCAAGTTGATGATGAGTTGATCATACGAATCTGGTAGACTTTGAAGTAGAAGTTCAGAACATTCTTGTTCTCCTATTGAACATCTTAAATATGTAAGCTGAGAAAATAAAGTGTTCAGTGTGTTTAAGTGCTCCATTACTAAAATAGATTCTGGCATACAAAGAGTGTACAATTTCCTCTTAAGGAAAATTTTATTGTGCAACGATGTGGCATCGTACAATTTGGTGAGATGATCCTATATCTCCTTAGTTGTCTTCTTCTCCTCGATGCTTGACAATACTTCATCTGCTAATGCTAGATGAAAGTTGACCATATCATTCCGGTCCATTTCAATCAATTTGTTGTCATCTGTGAAATATACATGCATTTTACTGATAGCTACTAGACAACCGTCTTTCCTCATGATGTCATTCATCTTCAATTTCCACAATGAGAAATTTCTCTCATTGAATTTTTCAATATTAAATTCCGTTGTCATAGCTTCTATTACTGATAGCTCCCACTATTTCACTATCGTGAATAGTTCTCTGGAACCTTCAAAGAATGGGTAATACCTTCTTACTTTCTTATGTTGGAGGATCCACCTTTTGGTGGTAACCACAAAGATAATAAGCAGATATTACACACTCAAATCTGGCTCTGATACCAATTGTTGCGGAATACGGCTATCAGATAGAGTAAAATCGTAACTGATAATTTGAGAAAATAAAAATGAAGATAAATAAGACACAAATTTTACGTGGAAAACCCCTAAATAATATAGGGTAAAAACCACGGGCAACGGTAGAAGAATTTCACTATGAGAAAATAGGAATTACAACTTATCTCGATCTACCTAGGAGAAAACAATGATAATTCTCTCTTGATAAAAAAGAGAAAACAACTCTCAAGAAACTCTCTAAATTCTCTAGTATTGGGAGAAAGCTAGAATGATTTGGAATGATTTTGAAGCTAAATGTGTTAGATTATTTATAGTTGAAGCTTAAAGACTAATTTTGTAAATACCCTAAAGTCCAGAAACTAAAAACAATTTTCCCATGCAAAATATTCAACACCTAATTCGATGCCTACAATTCCCTTTTTCAAAGTTTTAGGTGGAATTGATTTTTTCAATTACTGTCGGTGGAATGCATCAATTTTCAACATTAAGGGATCATGTGCATACCGGCATATTTCTGATTTAGGTCTAGACTTGCGGTCAAGAGCAAAATGGTTGCCAAAGTGAATCTCCTGGAAAAGTCCAGGATAGTGCTTCTCTAACCACTCAATTGTATGGTCCTTAATCACATTCTGCCGAGACCTACTCATAAATTTAAGAAAGACCAGCTTCTGCGCAGAGGTCAAAGACAAATGCATTATTAAAGAAGATGGTATGCATACATACGTTACAACCGAAAGGCTACAGAATCTTGATAACTTGTGAAGGGTCATCTTGATACCTTTCTTGAAATACGGTGTATTGAAGAACTCGTGGACACGGATATCGGCTGTCAAAACAAGAAAACAGGGCATGTTCTGAAATAGTCCTTAGACAAAGCAAACTCAACAAAAGTTAAGGATTGAATGTTTTTTCAGAAAAGTTTATTAAAAAAAATACACGCAAAATGCAGAAACATTAGCAAGTTCGCAAAAGTTTACAACTGATACGTATTGAGCTTAATCAGATACTATTCCTTTTTTTTTTCCGGATGAAAAAATAAATTCCTCAAATCTCTTCCTAACATGGATCTACTTGGCCTGTTTACTTAAAGTTGCAACAAACCCACAAAGGACTACACCTAGGTTGAGAACCTTTAACTTTCATCCAAAATTAAAGGCTAAAATCAGCGCAATTTATACATGGAATTTGAGGAATTTCATATAGTAGTAGCAGCAGCATCTTACTGCATGCCTTTTTGTCACATTAATTTAAATAGACATATGCATCAACATCAACAGAGGAGTTAACAAGTATGTTTGCCGATACCTTCATCACGAGAACAATTCCATATCTGTAATAAAATAAACAACGAATTACAAAATTTATTGAACAAACATAAATCAATATCAAAATTGATTTTGTCTGTCATTTATCGGTTGGCAGGTTGCTATTTTTGGCAAACAAATTGATGGATAATTCAAGGGCGACTTTCGGACGGTTCAACGGCATGACTCGGGCAACGGTGACCATAATAAACATCTCTGATGACGGTGGCGGTTCAGCCTCCAACTCCAAGTACATATTCGGGGGAAGATTGGGAGTAGCTATACTTGTGGTGGCGGCTATAATATTCATGATATTAAAGAGCAAAAGATCGGGTCCTGGATGCAGCTTTTCTTGCCAGGGTAGCTGCCAGATCACCTCCTCTAACTCCTGTGTTGTTCATTCTAAAAATAATGTTGAGAACGTGTGAGATGCATAATATATAAAGGGCGTGCGTGCATGTATACATAGTTACATACATGCCAATAAGTTCATTTTTTTACGTTGATGTAAAATAAGCCCCGAAGGCATCTATACAAAGTTCACACCTAACTTCAAAGATAGGGGGGGGAAAAACTCCCAAGAATTATCCAAATTATTACCCCTAAATTTGTAGCCACTGATTCTCAACATGAATCTAAAATATTACAACTAATATTACAATACACCTCACCTTATTACTAGTGAAATATATATAAAACTAAAATTTATTTTTATTTTTTTACAAGGCTGGGATCATTCTAGAGCTATTTTGATAATGCAAATTTAATATGATAATTTTGAATGCAATATATATATATATATTTATTGTGCCATGTTTTTAGAGTTTCACAACTTCTTTTATTAGGAGAAATTTGAGTGGAATAACATCTTTATGTTTGAAAATTTCAGAGATCAAATTGAAGAAGAAAAATAATTAAATACTAGTTGATAATGAAATACATCTTTAGAGAGAAAAATACTGTTTAATCTAAAATTAATCAAACTTTGCTAAAATATTAAATTTTTATATTTAAGAATATAATGAAACATATAATTATTTAAAAATAACAAAAATGGCCAACGTCGATTAACTATATATAATTATGAACGGACTTGCATAATTTAAGGTACTATTGAAAAAGTCTAACCATATCAAGATAAGAACACCGATAAATCTAATTAACGTTAATATCAATTCTAAAAATAAATCCCTAAAAGCTCGCTTAATATATTGTGATCCTTTAGCCTCGGATCCGACTGGCCTCTTTATATAACGATGCTGGTTCCTTGTTTTTCCAATATCAGTCACAGGGCTAAAATTAAATATTGAGGGAACTCCAAAAGGCTTAGGGACCAAAGAAGCCTATTTTCCATTTGGACTCGGTCCCTCTGCATTTTGGTTGTCGCTCCTCCAAATTCCATAAACAATTTTGCTTACAAATCTCAGTCTGTTTTAGTATTTTTTTTGAATCCAAGCCGTTAACTATGGTGGCACACGGCACGATCAAGGAGAAGAAGAATGGTTTGAAACCAAGAGTGAAGAGTTTCAAAGTGAGAGTCACACGAGTAAAAACAGATTTGAAAAAGATGATAATGGAGGACCAAAGATGCGTAAAAGAGGAGCAAAGAATTATCGGAGATATTGTTAAATGTCAGTGCGATGAAGCGGGTTTGGAAACTCAAGTGATTGTGAAGCAATCGAGTTCCAATAAGGTTCGGCTTGATATTGTGTTCAATATCGTAGGAGCTCATAGAGACGATGACATTGAAATCTTATAGCTTCATTAGCTCCGCTTCTGATAAAACGAAGCTACAGCTTTTTGTTTTCTTTTAAATGTAAATATTAACGTCCTCTCATCAGCAATATAAAGAGAGAATGCAACATTGCATTCTGTTTTGCTTCATAAACAAACATCTTTTATAATGCTTTTTCTGCGTTTGCAGCATTAAAATAGAATCCTAAATTGATTTTCTCTTATATTTATATTATTAATTTTCTTGTTTAATTCATCATCTGATCTCTTCCCTCTCAAAGAACCATTGAATGCATGCACACTTCAAGCAAAAAAACATGTCTCTTCCCAAAGCTTTCAATGTTTATAGATCAAATAATTTTAAATTTTAAATCCTTAAAAAATAATCGTCTTAAAACGACGTTGCTTCCAGGAAATGCTCGACATTCTTCTTCTGGTTTCCAAGTTACATACGCTGTTCATGCGACCATTAATCAAGCCATCATATGTAGATGCATGGTTGGTCTATAGGCGTCTTCTGGGGTTCATTTAACGCACGTTATCGAGAAGAAAATGAAGATAGTAGCACCATCATTGCCCGTTTTACTTGTCCATTTGGTCTTTTATAAAGCTTTACCATCTGCTATGCCTGATTGTTCCTTTCTAAAGGACGTATTCTGGGAACAAACATTTACCTTTTGGTTTAGCTGTTTTTTTTAATAACCCGATTTATTAATCGACTAATCCGGATCAAGTACCGTAGAGGTGTTTTAACGTTTTTAAATGAATGAAAAAGAAAAAGGAAATATAAATAAACAATAAACCATTAGGACAAATACTCATTTGATATTAACAACCAAATTATTTCATGAAACATGTACTTCTAACGCTTGTTGTATTTTTTATTTTTTTGGGTAAACTAAGCGTTTAATATATAAATTATCAGTTGTGATCCATTTTAGTAATTAAACTTTTAATTTTTTTAAAATCATATTTAACATTTAATTTTTTCATTTTAGTACTCAATCGTTAAAAACTTAACACATTTTGTACATAAACTTTCAATTTTGTTCTATTTTAGTACCTAAACTTTAAAAAAAAAAATTCAAAACTTAAGCATGATTTAAGTACTAAACTTGTTTTGGCACCCAAACTTTCAATTTTTTCAAAACTTAAGTTTTTGGTATTAAAATGAAACAAAAACTAAATTTTAGATATGATTTTAAAAGATTTAAAATTTAGATACTAAAATGGATTAAAACTGAAATTTTATATACTAAATGTGTAGTGTAATTTTTTTTTTATAAATACTCATTCAATAAAGGGGACAAACCCATCTCGTCATGCAATAATAGTGTAGACACTCATTTTCGTCCGAGTTTCTTTTTATACAATATAGTATTATGGTATATTATATATTATATTTCATATAGCATATATTATATAGTATGGTATTATATAGCATATATAATATTTATATAGTATATAGTATTATATATTATGTTTATATTATATATTATAATATTTATATAGTATATTATTATATATATTATAGTATTATATTATATATTATATGTTATATATTATTAGTATATATATATTTATTATATATTATAGTATAGTATATTTAAATTATATTATATTTATATATATTATATTATTTATTTATTTAATCATTTTAGGTCTAAAGGCAAAGTTAAAGTCCAAGTCCAACTGGTCCAAAAATAGAGTCAAACAGGGTAGTCTGACCCAACAAGCCCGGTGGAAGTCCAATAACACCCAAGCCCGTTTGCTTAACCCAGCAGGAGCTAAGGTTTCATCCTTAAGCATTAGCGTCGTAATCAACCAGGGTCGTTGGATCTGACCTCTTGATCGAACGGCCGAAAATGCATCAGATCACCCATCAACGGCGCGTGGAGGCCACGCGCCAACAAGGTCTCAAATTTGTCGAGATTCTCGGCGCCCGAATATGAAAAAATCACAAAAAATCGGAGCAAATCGGGACTGAACCATCCCTAGATTTCCGGCCAACAACGAGGAGTAACAAATCAAAGCAAAATCGGAATGGAATCAAAACCACAACATCCTCAAGCCTGAATAAATCAAAAAATGGGACTGAACCATCCCGAGATACTCGAAAACAACCATCGATGGGGGGTTATATAAACCCTGAAAACCATCGAAGCAAAACAGGAAGAAAACCAAGGGAAAACGAAGCAACATATACCAAAAAATCAACATAAAAACATAAAAAATCACAGCAAAAAACGAAGCAACCAACAAACCATAAAAAATCACAAAAACCAAAAATAGCTTTCGGTTTTGGCTCGAGAAAGGGGTAATCGTCGGGAAAGCAAAGAGATTTCATCAAATAAAATGTAAAAACCACATATTTTCTTTCAGATCTACATAAGTGGAGTGGTTTTTAGGGCGTTTGGGTTTAGGTTTCGAGTTCACGGGGACAAGGAGGATTTTTTCTAGGTAAGTTTAAATTTTTTAGCCACCAAAGACGGCAGTCGGAGCGGTCAACGCTGGTTTGAGGCGGCGGGGCCTCGCCGACGGGTGGCCAACTATAGGTCGGCTTGGAGAGTGTTGGAAGAATTCGGGGAGAAGGAGAGAGTTTGATTTTGAGGAAAAATGTCAAAATGAATGAAATAGGTGATTTTAGGGGTGTTTATAGGAGGGGTCGGAGTGTAATTATAATATTTTTAAATTATTTCCGCATTCCCTGTAGTTTTGATGCGTAATTCATTTTGGTCAGTTATTGTAATTTAGTCCTTGAATTTTGAATTAATTTGAAATCATGTTTATATTTTTCATATTTTATAATTTGACCCCTAACCTTTTCATTTTTCTTACAGCTCGTATTTAACATCAATTTGACTCCCAAATTCTTTAAGTCTTTTAAATATAATTCTTTTTAATATTTGTTTTTTTTCTTCTGAATCTTTTATTTTA